TAATTCTTAATATTACTAAACAAAGAAAGTGGAATACACACATTCTTACAGCATCTTATCCTTATTAATAACTATATTTTATCTAAAGTACATCTTGCATAAGTGACTAGTAAGCTTACATATTTCATTAAGAAGTTACAATTACTGTTAGCATTTTCTCTTAAAAGAAATGGCAACTGTAGTGTAGTTTGTTCTGTTGCAGTAGCAAACATCACTGAGACATTCTGCTTGAACGATCAGTCGAAGAGATCACAAACTGTCCGCACAGGGGCACCCACAGCACCCACAGCTGGATCCTGAGCGCTGGCTGCCTCTCACGCCCCAGGGGTGGTTGCACACACCTTGCCGGTGACCATTGGAGATGAGACCTGTGGAGACACAAACATAACCTCTTCCCCAGGTTATTAAAGGAAATGGTCCTTCCCAGTTACCCCTTTCTAGGTTTTTATTAACAATTGAGCTTTGCTTTGGACTTCTTGTTGGTCTGGTATCTGTGATGAAAAATGACACAATATTGATGACACCTGTGAGACAGGGGAAATGTTTAAAATGTTCATGACATATAATGCCTTATTTAGCCTTTTGTGAGGTGTAGATTGGTATCATGCATTTTGCCCCTTTGTTGTTGTTCTTGTTGTTGTAATAGACACTTTAGCTGCTAGATGTATACTTCACAGTGGCCTGACCGGCCGGTGAATGGGGAATGCAGGTCAGATGCTTGACTCCCCACTGTATGACAGGATGCAAAACAGTGCTCCAGGAAAGGTATTAACAGACACATGTACATATTTTAACATTTGAAATGCAGCTGAGTGAGTGACAACAGATTGCTATAATTCTGAGGAGGTGAGTCCCCAAGAGTCGACACCACTTCCCTGTTGAAGAGATAGAGTCTGTCTGGTACTCAGGGCAAGTTGCAGTGATGTCTTTAGCTGGATGCCTTGATAAAGAAAACTGTTTTGTATTGCTCTGGCATTCTGGAGGAAAAAATGCATGCGTTTTACAGCAGAGCAAATGGTTGAGCTGGAGCCAAGATCTCTCCCCCCTTTTGTTTTTGCAAAAGCACTTTCAAGGTTTAGCGTGTTCTTTCTGCGATAGCTTGTCCTGTGGGGGAATGCAGTATACTGCCGATGCTTGTTAGCTATATGGTGAAGATCTTGTTTTGCTTTCTCTGCAAGTACTTTGAGTGATGTTAGTGAAGGATCTTTTCACAAAATATCAAATAAGATATGCAGATCATCATGAGTCAGGCCTACGACGGCTGTATCTAATTTATGGTTCCTAACAGTGATTGTAAATCTTTTAAAGTCTTAATAACAGTTTTAAGTTGTTGCAGGACAATGCACACAGGTGATTCGGTTTACAAGGTTAGTGTCAGGGTGGGTTTCAGGGTGCGTTGTGCTACAGTGGTGATTAAGACAAATTTGATCCAATTTGAGTTCCTCATCAGTTACAACCCCAAAATGCAATAGGGGTTTTCTAATATAAATGGATGAATATTTGCTACCCAATCTTCTAGGCCCCTTACATGAATGAGATCCTTGCTTTAAATTGCTACAGCATGACCACCAACCCTGAAAAGCATCTGAGGTACCTGAGCTAACAGCCAATCTGCTCACAGATATTATGGTCACATCTGCACCAGTATCTAAAATGCCTGTCAGCTCAGCAGATTTTTTAGCTTTAACGAGAGTACATTTTACCAGAAGATAACCTTGTGTCATGTTTAAGTCCAAAAATATTTAAGGAGTACCTGCTGAACCAAATCCTGAGTAATTGCAGCTTCTTGGCATAACATTAAAGGGAGCCGCAGTAAAATTAACAAAGTGAATAATTTTTTGATCCTTTTGTTACTGAACACAGGGGTACAGACCATAATTTTTATTTTTCTCTTCATAATCAACATCTACGACCCCTGGTAAAACAAACAACAACTGTAAGGTTGCATTTTTATTTTTTTTTTAACAATATTTCCATTAGGCAGATGGTTCAGAGGTACACTCTCCCCGCAGAGTACGCACCTAAATTCAAAACAACAATCAACACAGAATTACTGCCTCCCGTTAGAGGAGGTATTTTACCTGTAACAGTTATAACACTGAGCCCGAACAAACGGCAGCACCGATGGCCCAGCGGGCGGGCACTAGGACCCTGTAGTTCCTCGCCGGCCGCTCCACTGGCCAGAGAACTCCGCCGCTGCAGCGGCCGCGTCTCACACACACACACACACACACACACACACACACACACAATCACACAGGCACACGGAGGAGCTCCTGACACTTACTACTCACAGCATAAAATGACAAATATTACCAATATGAAGACTCCATTAAGAACACATAAAGCCTGTGCTGCGTAACCCTGCCGCTTTTGGCAGGGGGTGCCGAGGGCGCAGTGCCGGGCTCAGCCGCAGGCGGCTGCTCCGTGGCGGGGGGGCTCGGAGAGGCCCTGGGCTGCCGCCACCAGCGCCGAATGTTGAGCATAGAGATCCACACCTCGGTTTTCTGGGTAGAGTGCTGTGCCGGCGTGAATGTCGTTTTTTCTTAAAAGTGTGAGCCAACTTTTATGGGGCCAGTCGATATCCCTGAGCCATCGCCTCCAGTACAGCTGTTGTAGTCTGAGTTTTTGCAGCCCGTCCTTATTAATGCTTTTCTCTAAATCTTTAATAACAGAAAAATGCCGTTCTTCCCAACGTGGCTGATGACTCGGCTCATAGCTTACAGGAGTAAGAATTTTTCTTTGCATGTCCATATTCCCTTGTGCCAAGGTTTTTTCGCCTCACTTTTATCTACGGATCATCCCCAATTAAGGGAGAACACAGACCAGACAGTCCAGATTCTTTTTCAGGATTTACAGCATCAGGGTGTAAAAGATTATCACACCATTCTGCCTCTTCAAACAATAAATCTGTCTCTTTAAAGTGTCCCTTAGCCTTGCCCAGACCAATCAGCGTGAGTAAGTTTTTTATCGGACTTACTACCCGCTTTTCTAAAAAGCAAAATGTTTAAGGACTAACTCTCATGCAAATATTCCTGCCCGGGAGAAAATTCCTTAAATTCCTTAAAATGCTGGACTGTGTATCTTAACAACCTTCTTTAACATCAGATCAGGCAGCCAACAACCAATTTCCTTAATTCCTTAATTCCTTAATTCCTTAATTCCTTAGCCTTTCCTGGGTAAGTCCCCTATTGCGGCCTTTCCGGGGTAGCCCTTCTCGGACCGAACACCTGCAGCTGGTGCTGAAGAGGTGGCAGCCTTGCCTTCCTACTCTGAGTCCGTCCCGTTGCTTCCCGGGTTCCGTTCGGTGGAAAAGCAGTGTTTGGGTAACCCTGCACGGTGCGACACTTGCGGCGGGCAGAGGAAGCAAGCAGCCGATTCAACGTGAAGGATAGAGCAAGCTTCCACTTTATTGAAAGAAATCACACCTTATATAAGCACTCTACAATAATCATGCATACTACTCACAAATCTATTGGATACATGTAAAAAGCTACATTATAGTATCCCAGCCACTTGTGGTATCTCAGGCATGTCCCAACATCTTCCTTCTTCTGGCTTGCTTTCTTTCCCAAGGCCATTCCTTTATCATACACAAGGTCATAATGTACCTCAGTTTCTCTCTCTGTTAACATAACAGTCCTTTATTATCAAAACTGTACCCTGGATTTTTCCTCTGTTTACCTCAGATGGCTGCAATCAGCTCCTGCAGAGACCCATGGCCTTGCTCTCTGCAAGCCGTTCTCCAGCAACAGGACAACCTTACACATACAGAAAGCGAAACCTCCCGCTAATTACTCCATGGGAACGCAGCAGGCAGAGCTTTTTGTCCAGATTGCACCCGTGCTGCTGTTAGCTTCAGGCACCCAGTGCTTCCAGCACGGCATCTTCCTCCCCGTTCTCCCCCCTGCCCTGGGCAGATCTCTGTTTCAGGTCTGGCCCGGCTGTTTCCTGAGCTGTGCCCTCTAGGTGTGGTTATCAAGTGTTAGGACAGACTTTGGTGTTGCGCTGTGGTGTTGCAGTGGTTGTGTCAGGCAGATGTGGACAAGTCCTAAGTGCAGATGTGCGGTGACAAGCGCCCGTTATTTGGCCCTGACTCCAGGAGAACTGAACCCCTTCAGCCTTCTCAGTCTGGGTGGAGATAAGGGATGGAAAGCAGTTGCAGACTTTCAAGGGGTCAGTGACAGGGGGATCCTTTTGCTCTGCTCCCCCCATTAAACTGCTCTACTGGCAAGTGCACATGTGGGGCATGTGGGTGGCTGCATCCCGCATGTGTTCAATGCTCCAGCGTGTGCACGCACTGCCTGTGCACGTGTGGGGTGTGTGTGTGCGCGCGCGCGTACACTCGGAGGTGTGTGTGCATGTGTGTGTTTGCACAATCGTGTGTGTGTGTGTGCATGCACACTCGGGGGAGGGGTGTGTGTGTGAACACTACGTGTTGCGCTTTGTGTTCCAGACACGTGTCTTGGAGCAGGGGTGTGTGCACGCTCGGCGTGGGCATCACACCTTCCCTTTATAGCCCACGTGTGTCTCCTGGTAGTGTGTGTGTGCGCACGTGACCCAGAGCCGTTGGCGTGTTGCATCGATTTTTCCTACCCCCTCTCTGGCCCCGATGTGCCAGTCTTCTCGATGCCGGGGTGGCTCTGAGCACCTTCCTCTGCGACGAATCTGAGTTCAGCCCTTTGGAGGGACTCTTTCCCTTTGTGCCCGACGTGGCTGCCTGCACCCTCACTTTGCAGGTGCCAGGCATGGAAGTCCTTGACTTGCACGGGAGACTGAATTGGACTGCAGCGTGGTTAGCTGGGAAACTCGGCAACTTTATTTCAAGAACTAAGTCAGCCTGAGCATTTCTGTGCGCTCAGAGGAGCGTGGGCAGGACTGAGCAGGCCTTTGACATGGAGGCTGCCTTTGGGTCCGCAGGCAGTGAGTGTCCCAGCAGGAGATAGCCCTGGTCCGCTGCAGCCTGCGCTGGATCCTCTTCCTCCTGCTGCTCAAGCCTTTTATCCCTTTAGGATCTGCAGGAGCTCCTACAGCCAGTTAAAGAATTGCAGCAGCTTCTGGAGGGGAAAGGGGCAGGAGCTAAACCAGCCCGACTGTGCTGGTGTGGGGCTGGGCCTTTGAAAAGGGGTTGAGGCAGTGAGAAAAGGACTCCATGCCCATGATGCTGGCTGGAGCAGCCCTTGGTGTTGAGTACACTCCCATCTGTTCTAGGATCCAGTTGTAGTAGTGCTGAGTGGAGGTGTGGATGCCGGGCCATTTCGCTCTCATGAAGCCTCTCCCCCAGCTGGTCACCCCAACAAGCCAGAATTAGTCAGCACTCTTGTCCTTGTAGATGAGAGAACCACCGCTGTCACCCTGCAACGAAGGAATGAGCGTCACGGTGGTGTCAGGTGGCCGCTGTCCCTGCCCCTGGGCTGGCTCCTCCTCTCTGCCCGCTCCCCACCTCTCCCGAGTTGTATCCGTGGCACAGAGGCTCTGCTCAGGTGCTGGGGCCGACAGGACCCTGTCTGGGAGGGGGTGGTGGGCCCGTGGGGTAGGGCTCACGCTCTTCTCTGCACAGCGATGCTGGCCGGGTGCAAGAGGGATGTTCAAGGGCTGGGAGCTGGACCTCGGGTCTGCCAGGAGGGCCGGGTGGGCTTTCTGGGCAGAGTCCCGGGCCTCTGGGGCAAGTGGGGCCCTGGGCAAGGAGCTGCAGCTGGGGAAGGGGAGGTGAGCCCCGCCAGCGGCGGGGACCCAGCGGTGGGAGGGCGACGGGCCCGGCAAAGCCCATGCCGGGGGGTGTCTGGGCAGCTGTGCCAGGGATGCCGCTGCCGCTGGGCGCTGCCTTGTCTCAGGCTCCTACCTGGCAGGTGTCGATGCCGCCCTGCGGGTAGCCAGCGCACAGGTTGTGGGGGTGGACGGCCCCTGCGTACCACTGCCTGCTGTTACACAGTTTGAGGTCGATGAGGAGGACCTTGGCCTCCTGCAGGACATCCGCTGGTTCTGCGCCTGCGAGCACAGAAAGGAATCAATGCCTGGCAGCTTGTGGCCAGGCCTCCCGTCCCGTCTGGGTGAACCCCTTCCTTTCCTTGGGCTTTGCAGCATGACAAGCGCTGCCCCGGAGTTGTCCTGCTCTGTCACCGCGGGCCCTGGGCCAGGCCCATCTCTCTACGGGCAGACGTCCCCGCAGCCTGGCTCTGGCTCTCGCCTCCACTGTCAGGAAGCCCAGCCCGCCTCCCCCGTGTGCTAAGCTCTCGCTCGGAATGCGAGCACTCTTTGGGAACTCACCCCTCGCCATCGTGGTCCCCCAGCCACTGATGTAGCATGTTGTCAGCTCGGACACTTTCAGCGAGGCGTCAGGCACGCAGGCGAGCTGGATGGAGTCGCTGCACCGCACAGGCTCGTCCAACTGCAGCAGAGCAATGTCGTTGCTCTGCGAGATCTTGTTATACTCTTCGTGAACCAGCAACTGCTTAACAGAGCGCACCTGGGACTCCGGGCCGGGCTGAGGCAAACTGGTGGCCCCCACCACCACGCGCCACCTGGTGATGTGCCTGGAAGGCAGATGGGGAGAGGGCTCAGAGGGAGCGGCGCCACGTGCTGCAGCAGCCCAGCAGTTCCCTTTCCCTGCCCTCTGCTTCCCGTGGGGGAGAGGAAAGCAGCGCTATGGAGGCTCAGACTGCCCCTGCATGTCTTGGGCTCCAGGCATGTGGAGGCTGTTGGAGGCTGTGGCAGGAGCCCAGCGCTCTCCTGAGCCGCCTCTCAGCCGGGCTCTGCAGTGCCCAGGCACTGGGCGTACCACAAGGAAAGGGGACGGGAGTAGCACGTGGTGCTGCGGACGAGGCACCCGCGAGTGTCGGGGGATATCCCCGTTCCTGGCCCTCCTTACCTGGCCTCAGTGAAGCAGTGGGCTGCTGTCAGGACCCACTGTGGGCTGATGAGGGACCCTTCACACACATGGCCCGTGCCTCTTCTCCGGGTATCCTGGATGCTCACGATCCAGGGCCAGCCCCCTGCCTGGGCGTCTCTGCCCCCCACCACGTGCGAGGTGTCATCAGCAGCAGCCGTGGGCCGGAGTCCGCAGGTCCCTCTGCAACCAGAAACTCGTCACCTTCCTGCTCGACGGCTCACGGCTCTCCCGGCTGAAGGTCAGCCCTCTGCCCTCCCCACGGGGCGCTGCATGGACAGCAAGGCCAGGGAGCCCCATGGGGAGGGCGGGCAGCCACCCCCTTTTCTGCTGGAGTCCCGCAGGCGAGTTGTGCCAGCAGCCCGGGTGTTGCAAGGAGCCAAGGCTCCTGCGTGGGGCTGGGGAAGCCGTGGTGTGACCACAGGGGACCGGTGGACACCCCCCAGGGAAACCCA